CCGCAATACCGACCACGACAACTACCACCACCACACCCATCGTCTGCCAAAGCGCATCTGAACAAGGTACACCGCGACACACACACACACACACACACACACACACGACACAACACAACACAATCCTTTATTGGGCGCATGTATGTCGTGTCGCTGTGTCGTTGAGGTCGTTGAGTGCAGCTCGCCAGCCATGTCAGTACCTCACACCGCTGTCTGTCCGTGTTTCGGCGTTGGATCTTGTGCTGTACCCTCAGCTTGTGCTCGAAAGGGAAGGATGCCATGCCGGAATGATCCGAATGTGTGTGGCCCTTGCCTGCGAGACCATCCGTACGCTGCTCGTGGGGGCGATCCAACGCAGGACGGCAACTCCAACTGCACCTCACGTAAGCATGATTGGCACACATACTCGTGCGCGTGCCTGCATGCACAAACACAAGCAAAGCCAAAAGCTGTGTAGCAATCTGCATCCCGTCCTTTCTGCGTTCAGCAAACGGTTGAGCCCTGCAACGTGTATGTGTGGGGCAACGCTCGCTGCTTGCCTGTCTCACATGCGGCCCGTCCCGACTGCTGCTTCTTCCGTGCCTGCAGGCATTGATCGGCCCAAAATCGCTACGGAGCAGGGTCACATTGTTGCAGACGCCCTGAGCGGCGACATCTTCCTGCGTTTCTTGAATGGCCAAGAACTCTCCGTGTCTTCGCTGGCAGCGCTTCACACGAACATGCAGGTACAGGCAAGAGGTGCTATCTGTCCCCTACTCGAACGTATGGCAGCTTCATACGTGTGCTCTCCTGCATGACACTCTTCTTGCATCGTTGCTCTCGCTCGCTTGTGAACATGCACCACCCCAACACCCTGTCTTGATTGCCTGTGCGTTTGCAGAACGAGCTGTCGCTGGCGCTGGATGACCTCAGGTGCGTTCTTGCGTTCTTGCGTTCTTGCATCTCCTGCGTGTGCTTGTCTCCATGTGACGTTCAAGGCCTGTTTCCTGATGCCATGTTGTTCTTAATGAATGTTTGGTGCAGGGGCGAGTTTGCCACGAAGCTGGCTGAGCTTGAGGCCCAGTACAAGGCTGAGATTCAATCTCTCAGAATCGCCCTACAGCGCTCAAACAGGTGCCTTTGCTGTGTCGTGTGTTGTGTGTTGTGTGTGTTGTGTGTTGTGTGTTGTGTGTATGTGTATCTTGTGTGTCGTGTGTGTGTCGTGTGTACGGTTGCTTTTGTCGCCTTCGCAAGGATCGATACCTTTTCCTGGAGTTGTGGGTGTTATGTTACACAGCTTCCACACACTCACGCGCCGCAAACACCACTGCCCTTCTCTCCCACGTTAGTTCGCTGGAGTCTGAAATTGAAACACTCGACTCAAGCAAAGCAGATGTTGCGGACGTGCATCGCGTGGAGAGTAGCATCGAAAGTGTCCAAAGCAGCGTCATCAGCATTAACAGTGCGTGTAGCTTCCGACAGCTGATCTCCTCCCTCCCCCCTCACACTCGCGTGCCTGCATCTTTGTATCTCGATAGTGTTGGTTCAACCGATGTGGGTGCTTCGTACCTTCCTATCCCTTCGTGTGTTCGCTTTCCCCCTCCCACTCTCCTCCTCCACTGCACACCGCTCACCCGTTGTCACTGTTCCGTGATTAGGTGCGCTGAACAACAAGGTTGATCTTGAAGGCCAGGCCTCGCTTGAAACAGCGCTGCGCTCCGACATCTCCATCGTTGCCTCAGATGGGCAGGACACCGCAAATGCTCTTGAGTGCGTATGCACGTGTGTGCATGTGTGCGTGCATGTGCATGTGCATGCGTGTGTGTGTGTGTGTGTGTGTGTGTGTGTGTGTGTGTGTGTGTGTGTGTGTGTGTGTGTGTGTGTGTGTGTGTGTGTGTGTGTGTGGTAAAGAGGAGGGGGGTTTTTCTTCACTCGTGCTGTGCGTATTTGCCGTGTGCAAACGCACCGTTACATGGCGTGTTGCTTGTTCTTTATGCAGCGCTGATGCTCACGATCCACGCCAACAACAAACATATGCTGCTCCGGCAGGGGTTTGTTGGAGACAGCCGCGCGGGTCACGGATGTTGAGGCATCATTCGAGGAGTTGCGAATGGACATTTCGGAAGTATCGACAGCGGAGCGTGAGTTGCTGCTCGTATACTCGAGAGGGTTCCCCTTTCGCATGTTTCGGGAACTTCTGTTCCTCCACGCTGCTTTTTGTGTTGATCATGTTCTGCGATCAATCATGACCCGTGCATTACGTCCCCTTGCTTGCAGGCAACACGGCGTCGCTCTTTGATGGACTCATCGTCAAGATTTCGGTGTGCATGTGTGTGTGTGTGTGTCTGTGTGTGTGTGTGTGTCTGTCTGTCTCTCTGTCTGTCTGTCTCTCTCTATCTGTGTGTGTGTGTGTGTGTGTGTGGAGTTGACAGGTGTGGGCGTGCGCTGTATGTGCTTGAATGACGACGACGCAAACCACGAAAGTTGGTCTCCAATGTGCTCCTCGCTCACACGGTCTGGTGTGGCTGCTGTTGCCCGTTTTCCTCGTGCACTATTCTTTGCTTGCAGGCACAGAGCTCTGGGCTTTGCAGTGGCTCGGCGCGACGCTTGTGGATCAACGACGAGGTGCACATTGCTGCTCCCTTCAAGCGAATCATTCACACACACGTGCACGCGCGCCATCTCGCCATACTCTGTTCCTCCCCTACTTGCACTCACTCACACGCTCACTCACTCATACACACACACTCACTCTCTCACTTACTCACACACACTCTCACTCACTCACTCACTCACTCACTCACTCACTCACTCACTCACTCACTTACTCACACACACTCTCACTCACTCACACACATACACATATCCACACACACACATACCATCTCTCTCTCTCGCGCACGCGCGCCCACACAGCCTTACACCTGGACGTCGTCTTGGAGCCGTGGCATCAACACCGTGGAGTTCCACCCAACGACCATGCAAGTCGTGCGTGAGCAGAACTTTGACACTTGCTGTGGATCCTCCCCAGCAACGGAAGGTGTGATGTGATCGAGGTGTTTTGCGTCTCGTGTTGCTGTCGACTTGTGCTTTTTCCCTCGTGTTCAACCTGTATTTGTCGCGTTGGCGTGGTACATGCTTTCCACGCATGCTTTCCACGCGCTCATGCGTTGTCCTGCTTTTTCACACCAAAATGGCGCAGCTGATCGCCTCACACAGTACATCAACGGCCTGGCGGAGGGCGTGCCAGTCGTGTTTGTGATCCACGATGAAGGTAAGCCCGAGAGTGGGGGACCTGTTGCTCCTGGTGTTACACAATGGACGTTGTGGTTGGATAGTAGAAGCTTCGGTCTCTGTCGTAGTGTCATGTCGCTTGATGACATACCCTCACGCCCTAGCTCACGCGATGGGGTGGCATTCTTGCCTTTGTAATGCCATTTTGCCGTGCCTGCAGGTATCAGCGCTGCCGATGACGAGCTGAAGTCAGCCATCGAGAGCATGGGCAGCCGGTACATCCGTACCATCACCTACAGAGGTGCGCTTTGCTTGTATGCCTTTGAGGGACAGGCAAGCTGCAAGGGCTGATCAGGATGTATTTGGTTGTGCATGCTCGACACTGCCTGCACACATGGCTGTGCATGCGTACCTGCCTATTCACACACGCACACATGCACACACGCGCACGCCGCACATGCATCTGCCTTGAAGAGTCGTGGGCCATGATTGGAATCAAGGGGGCGTTTCCCGGCACTGTTCCGGAGGCGTACGGCTCCAAAGTGGACGACCCCGGATGCACACGTGATCCACCTGTCCAGGACGAAACAGCAATCATTTCGCAGTTGTTCTTTGCTGGCAAGCTCGCTCCTTTCAACCAAGAGCTTGCACGTCGCTCGTACGCCAATGTATGTGTGTGTGTGTGTGTCCCTTTTGGGCATGGACGCGTGCTACTGGGATTGACTGTCATTGCTCATCTGTCGTGCATTTCGTTGTGCCCACTCTGCTCGCGCGTCCGTCATGCTCGCACTTTCGTGTTCCGGCTGTGCTGAACACACTTGCACTCACGCATGCAATCGCACCCACCCACCCACACACCCACCCACACACACACACACACACACACACACACACACACACACACACACACACACACACACACACACACTTGCGGATGCAACAACCGTTCTTCACACACGCACAACAAATGCGCGCACACTCGCACACACACACACAATTACACACACGCGCTTGCATGGTGCTCGCGCTCGCGTGCCGCCAGGGCCTGGAACGCTTCCGCAAGCGTTCGTCGTCGACGTGGGATGCGATGGTGTGGGGCGGGTACATCAGCGGAGACGTGGCGGGTATTGCTGAGCTTGGGACTATTCCAAGGACCTCCAATTACCAGCGATACATTGACATCAAAGGTATGAAGGCACGGGGTTTGTGTTTTCGTGTTTCCGGACTTGGGCACCGTGATGGCCCACTTATCTCTCGTGTGCTCTGCTTGGTTCCTCTCCACACGGGATGTGTGCGTGTCAGGTATTATTGATGTGTGAGCATTTCTTCCAGAGTGTCACGCTCCTCCTCGTGCTTGCCTGCAGTGTACGGCTCCCATCGCGGCTACAACGTCAACAGCTACTTCGAGTTCAAGCACTATGTCATCATGTGCGGCGACAAGTGCTCTGCCGCCCTCATTGACGCAGCAGGTCTCTGCAACAAAACCTGTTTTCTTTTTGTTGTCGTTCCTCGACATTGGGCGGGATGGGGAAGGGCGATTGACACACGATGTTCCGCAGGCCTTTGGTGTTCTTTGCATTGTTCACACGCGGTACATGCAACACGCGCTCACGCACAAACACACGCGTCCACGCATGCTTGCGATTGCTTGTGTGTGTGTGTGTGTGTGTGTGTGTGTGTGTGTGTGTGTGTGTGTGTGTGTGTGTGTGTGTGTGTGTGTGGACTACAGGTCGAGGTACGGTGAGCCTCTACGACACGATCCATCACGACTCCAACACATATGCAGGTGAGGGATACCTCTCAACATGCGCATGTGTGCGTGTGCGTGCGTGTGTGTTTGTCTTGTGTACACGCCGTATTGTGTCTCATTTCTTCCCTTTTCAGCGTGCTGTGTGAAGCGCCGTCCTTGCTCGTTGCTCCTGTGATTCTCATTTTGCTGTTCCTCTGTTCATGCGTTGCGACCTTCGACTGGATGCTGCTTCTCAGGCAATGGTGACATTGACATCCCCCCAGAGGGTTTTGTGATTGCGCTCCGATTTACACCCGTCATTGGCGCCAACTTTGACTGTGAGCTGCGTGTGTGTGTGCGTGTGTGTCCGGGTTTGTTGCTGTTGGTCTGGGAGCGTGCGAAGTGTGTTTTGGGTGTTGGCAGTGTCCATGCGCTCCGAAAGTGCCCTTCGAGTGCAACCAAGGCTGCGTTGTCCGCATCGCTTCTGTTTTGCTCTTGCACACACACACTCACACACTCACACTCTCTCCCACTCACACACACTCACACACTCACACACACGCACACGCACGCACACACACGCACGCACACACACGCACGCTCATCCTCACACACTCACACACACGCCTCTGTGTTGCGTGTATCGTGCTTGCTTGCTTGTTGGCATCGCTTGCAGACACGGTTGTGGTGAATTACTATGACTTTGACGAGTTCCACCCAAGCTTCGTTCCATCAGACCATCGCTGCTTCGACATGAGAGGCAATGCCGGCTATTCCTACCCATACGTCTCCTTCAAGTGCCGCGATGTTTGAGCGTCACATCACTTGCCACGTGAGACGTGCTCAGCTTGCGTGCTGTTTTGCTTTCTTTGCTTGTTTGTGTTTGTGTTTGTGTTGTGCTGTTCGTGCTTCGTTGCCTGTCTCCTCTCGCTCACTGTGGAGGGAGTGTGTGTTTGTTGTTTTTGGCCTTTCCTTCGCCTGGCTTGTTGACTTGCACTGTCTGTGTGTCGAGGGATGGTGAGCTGTTCCTTCACAATACAACACAATAAATGTGGTGATTTTGAACGCGCGTGTTCAGCAACGTAACAAGTCGCAGCACCAATCAGCCAAGGGACAGTCCCAATACCATCTTTGTTGTGGAGCTCATGGCGAATAACAATTTTCGTGTCGTGGATGAGAATGTCGTCTATGCTGCTGCTGCTACACGTCAAGCAAGTGGACGCCAGAGCGCGCGCGCGCGTTGGCAGATGGTCGTCCGTCGGCCCCCTTGTCTTCCTCCCTCTCTGACCTTTTTTTTTTTTTTTTTCTGCACATGCACAGACAAAGCATGCACACAGAACTGCTTTGTTTCCCACACGTCATGTCACCACCACCAAACTGGCCCTCATTGATTGCAAGGTTTCATGGCTGTGCTTTGTGTAATTGAAGAACGAGACAGACACGACCGAACACACCCAGGCCGATGAGTTGGCCGAAAAAGAAGAAGATGGTGGTGGCTAAGAACAAATCGCCGTGAAAGTAAGAGGTTCCACCGAGGGGAGAGAGGGAGGGAGGGAGAGAGAGAGAGAGAGAGAGAGAGAGAGAGAGAGCGAGAGGGGACCAAGCTCGCAGAAAAAACAAACAAAACCAAACACACACACACACACACACAGGGTGAAATTAAGGCAGAGGACAAAGAGACGGCACACGCACTCCACTATGGGCTCAGTAATCATAGAGCAGGCTGATGCTCTCTGCGGCCTGCTGGCGAACTTTGGTGTCCGGGTCCTTAAGGAGTCGCACAAGCTCTGTGGAACGGGCGATGCAAACACGAGAGACCGAGGCGGCGGGGACAATCGAGCATAAGCATGCACGAGCGCACACGCACGAGCACCACGCAAGCAGCCGAGAATCAAGACAGCGCAAGACACAGGATGGCAGTGAAGCAAGGGTGACACGATGCTACGTACCGCCGCAGACGTGCTCCTTTGTAATGTCGCGCCTGTCATCAGCAGGGATGCTGTGCAGCAGCTCCCCCATGAACAAGGCGGCGTTGCACCGAATGTCCTGCCAACAACAACACCAAAGACACACGGGGCGAATTGCACATGAGTCCGCGCCGAGCCACCAAGCACAATGCACACGCAGGAAAAGAGAGACAGAGAGAGGCGTGTGCATGTCCAGGCACAAGACAGACAGACGGGCACAGACAAACGCTCACCTGTCGATACGCCTTGAAAAAGTCTGCGGTGCTCATGGTGTAGAAGCTGACCTTGTCGCGGAAGTCCTTGATCTGCAGGCGATGAGAGGACACAGAGCACATCGTGTCAAGGGGGAGGGGAGGGGACACACTAGAGACTACACACTTACACACACACACACACACACACACACACACACACACGCACACACACATAGGTGCACAATCGAAAACACATGCACGAGGTCACGCTTGCGGCGCGTACCAGGACACGGGAGAGCTCAGCCAGGAACTCGGCGTAGTGGAGGCTCTTGCCGTCACCAAGGCACTTCTCAAAAAGCCTGCTTGGGGTGCACGAGTAATAAAAAAAAAAAAAGGGGGGGGAGGGGAGAACGAGCGCGCGCGGTGTGTGTGTGTGTGTGTGTGTGTGTGTGTGTGTGTGTGTGTGTGTGTGTGTGTGTGTGTGTGTGTGTGTGCGTGTGTGTGTATGTGTGAGTGAGCGAGTGAGTACATGCGAGCGAGGGCGCAAAACAAGGCGTGTGCATGTGCGTCAGTGAAACAGGAACGCACGACGTAAGTTCGTCGGACTCCAGAAGAGGGCCGAGTTTGAGAAGAGCGCGGGCGACGGCTGCGCACACGTCGGGGTCATCCTCAGCGAGGTGGAGGATGAAGCTGACGAGGTTGGAGTGGATCTGTTGACACGTAGCAGGATCGGGATTGAGAAATGCGGCCATTGGGAAGCGAGTCGTGCCACAAGCAAGCAAATGCACACAAAGGCAGACGCTCGCTTCGCTAGCACACGTGCCAAACAGCCCACAGAAAAACGGGCTACCCACACCCACACCCACACACACCCACCCACACACACACACACACCTGTTCGAGGAATGGGACTTTGCTGGGGCCATCACCAAACTGACTGAGGTTTCCAAACAGCTCAATGGCAGCAGCGCGGACAGCTGGCTTGTCCTTCTCAAAGCAGGGGCGGATGCGCAGCGAAATGTTGATGAGGATGTTCCGGATGGTGTCTTCCTCAACCTGGATGGAGAAAGAGACAGAGAGGGAGAGAGTGTGTGTGCGTGTGTGAGAGATGGAGGGAGAGATAGAGGGAGAAGTGGCGACGGGGCGCCAGTCGCGAGCGAATGCATCAGGTGGTACACATGTGTGAACAGGCGAAGACCCAAGCAAGCATGAAAAGTGGCAGCAGACATGGAGAAAGACCATTCAAAGAAAACCAGCAGGCAGGCAGGCAGACAGACAGACAGACAGTCAGTCAGTCAGAAAGACAGACAGACAGACAGACAGTCAGTCAGTCAGAAAGACAGACAGACAGGCAGACAGACAGACAGACAGACAGGCACACAGGTGTGTACTGCACCTTTTCGAAGATCTTGTTGAGGGTACGCATGGCTTCGAGGGTGATGTCATCGTTGGGGTCGTTCCTGTCGTCCATCCCCGTCATCACCGCGCTCAAGACCGCCGTCGAGTGCTTGCGGATGTGCTCATCGGGGAGGCTTGCAACGTTGCCCAGGCCACGCATGCACAACATGCGCACAACTGCAAACGTAGCAGACGGGGCGGGGCATAGCGGGAATGAGAGGGGAATGCCCACGCACCCATCTGGACCACGCCGCCACGTCTCCCACACGCTCGCAGAGGCAGAAAGACAAGGCGTACAACGCACAACACAGTACCACTGCAAGGATCATCATCACCATCATGACACCACACGTACTGTGGCTTTCGTCCATGATCTGTGCAAGGAGACCGTTGCGAAGGCGAACCATGAGGGAGAGGTCACCTGCACACTGCTGGTTGATCACCTCTGCGTACAACGCCACCGCCAGGACACGCTGCGTGTCGAACTTGCGCTTCATGACGCCATGGAAAAACTCCACAAGGAACGGAACCTGGTGTGTGGCGTGTCGTGCTGCGTGAGACATGTGGAACGACACGAGCGTACGCAGACACACACACACACACACACACACACACACACACACACACACACACACACACACACACACAGTCACGCACGTACACAGACAAAGGCCCGACACACAGACAGACAGACAGACAGACAGACAGACACACACACACACACATACACAGACAGAGGCACGGGAGAGGGCTCACCATGTCTGGCTTGTGCTGGCAGAGCTGTGCGACGACGGTGGTGAAGGCGAGGTTGTTGTCCATCTCGCTGAAGAACTGATCCCAGCCGCCCGTTGCATCCAGCGCATCGGCAACAAACCCGCTCTCCGAGCGCTCGAGGAACTGCTTGAAGGCATCAACGGCGTCCTGCATGGGATTCACGTCACCCTCGGGCTGCAGGCGCACGCATGACGCAAGACGAAGCAGCAGTTGCGCAAGGACGTCGCTGTAATTGTCCTCGGCAAGCTGTGCTGTCTCCTCCACGAAGAACAGCTCCTTCAGCGCACGCGTCGCCTGATGATGTGGTGATTTGTGTGTGTGTGTGTGAGTGTGTGTGTGTGTGAGTGTGTGTGTGTGTGTGTGTGTGAGTGTATTTGGGTTAGGGGTGTGGGTGAAAAGGATGGCAGCAAGCGTAACGAGTGAAGCATGTGAGAATATGAGGATGCGAGGTACAATGACAGTTACGGTGAGCTCTCAAGCAAGCGGTGTGCACGTACGGGCACAATCGCGTGTACCTTCATTGGTGGCAGGGTGTGTGTGAATTTGCCTCCCTGGTCGTGATACGGCAAGCTGTGGAAACAGGAATGTGAGTACACGGCGGTTCGTAAGCACGCCACCTGCGCACGAGCACGGGCACACACGAACGATGACAACAACAACGACAACAACAAAACAACAACAACAACAACAACAACAACAACAACAACAACAACAACAACAACAACAACAACAACAACAACAACAACAACGACAACAACAACAACAGCAGCAGCCCACCTGTTGTCGAGGATGCTGAGAAGCTCTGTGAGGATGCGTGGGGCAAGGTTCTGGTCGGCGGAGAGCGTGTGCCACATGTCCACCACCAGCTCCGCAAACGGGAGGTCAAACGAGAGCAGCTTCTTGATGACCGCATCAAGGTGATGCACAGCCAGCGTGCGGATGGCTCGAAGGACACCCGTCTTCGTCCGCTCTTGCGTAATGGCCTCCAGCTGCCGGCGTTGAAGACAAAACACACCACACCACAGTGGGCCAGCATGCGCGTGCGTGTGCGCGCGTGTGAGTATTGGTACAGTGAGCAGAGCGAGGAAGAACAGCTGAGAGCGTTTGCACGATTGCTTGAAAGAAAGGCATGTCCTCAAAACTAGAAAAGAGACGCAAACAGGCAGATACATACATGCGTAAACGCACCTTCTCGTAGAGGGCGTCAATGATGGCGTCGACTTCGTTTTCCAAATCACCGCCGCGAAGCCTGAGCGGCGACAAGTGCACGTGCATACGTGTATGCATGTGTGCACGCATGTGTGAATGTGTAGGCGAGAAGTACGCGGAGCGAGTCAAGTGAAAAAGGGAAACGGCTTGTCCTCAAGCTTCAGCAAACAGGACGGCAACATGAACGGAATGTGACGATAATACGGAAGACACGAGCACGGCACCGATTGCAAAACACCGTCCTCACTTGAACAGGCCGTTGATGACAACACAGGCGCCGTCGCCGCCGTCTGTAAACACGTCCAAGAGCCCTTCAAACAGCGGATAAATCAGATCCAGCAGCTCCTCTTTCGAAATCTTCTTTGCCAGCACCTGTTGTCACGCACACACGTGTGCATGTAAGAGTAGCACGCACATGAGTGTTTGTGGATGTGGACATGTGTGTGTGTTGCGTGTGGTTGTGTCTTTGTTGATGCGCGTGCTTGTTGGTGTCATCCCGCGCATGCTGCGAGCTATGGCAATCGCAAGCACGGTATGTGAGAAGCGGCAAGCACCGCTGGCAAAATGGTCGCAAACCTTCGACAGGTCGTTGACAACGGAGAAGAGCGGGTTTGAGTCGCCGTTCTCTGCGCGCTGAATCAGCTTGTCAATCGCCTGCACAGCGCACAGTCCAAGCCACACCACACCATCAGTCGCAGCAACAGCAGCATGGTAGCAGTAGTAACGGCAGCACGTCGGTAAGACAAGCGGGTGTCACACGAGAACGCGTGCAAGCAGCAACATGCACGCAACACCTTCATGCCGGGCTCAACCAGCCCAACAACAGCTGGTGGACCTACATTGATGATTGGGTCCGTCTCATTCATGTCACCCGCCATCACACGGCGAATATGCAGCAGCGTCTGGTGTGCATATGTGTGTACGAGAGAATACGCGTGTATGTGTGAATAGGCGAGCAAGAGCATCAAACAACCACGGCAGGCAGGAAAGTTGGAGATGGCAACGGGGCTTTGATGTGCTGAATACTCAAGTGTGTTGGTGTGTGTGTATGTGTGTGTGTGTGTTGGTGTGTGTGTGTGTGTGTGTGTGTGTGTGTGCGTGCGTGCGCGCGTGCGTGTGTGTGTGTGTCATTGTGCGTGGCGTCAACAAGGAGACGGCAGGGGAAGGGTGAGACCCCTGACCTTGATAGAGCCGAGGGCGTGCTGACGAACAGGAAGCATTGGATCCGCACACCGCGGAATGAAGTCCGCAAGCAGCTTGCCTGCACACAAGAGGAGGAGGAGGAGGAGGAGGAGGAGGAGGATGGCAGATTGAGAGGTTAGTCGACATGCAGAGTGGTTCGCACCACACAAGACAAGATGCGTGGTGCGGCTTTCAGAGACAAAAGCCAAGACAAACGGGACAACCACAGAGTCAAACAACGCGCCACACAGGAGACAGAGGGCAAACGTCTCTGACCGAAGCCTGCCATGGCGGTATTTGTGTTTGGATCTGTGGACGACTGCGCATCTGCACGCTCGTCCAAGATCTGAAACATCACATCCAGCACATCGTGGATGGCCGCCATCATGTGCTCCCGCTGCGTGTGCGGGCGCGTGTGTATTTGTGTGCGCGTATGTGCGTGTGTGCATTTGTGTGCGTATGTGCGTGTGTGCGTGTGTGTATGTGTTGATGTGAGCTGCTTGCGTATGTCGTATCACTCATACATTCTATGCAGGTGCTAGATTGGACCGAAGCAAACCACAAACGACTGCTGTGCATGAGAGCACGTGTCGCGTGCATGCACACCTGGTGGTCTTTGAGGGAGACGATGTAGGGCGAGAGGTGCTTGTAGACACTTTGCAGACACGTCGTTGTTGGATCCTTGCGAATCACAACCGCAAACAGACCGCCCAGGCTGCAGAATGCATGATCCACGGCAGGTTCATGGCGCCAGTGAGTGACTAGCAGCAACACACACAGAAAGAGACAACAAACACAAAAGTACAAGCATACAAAAGTACAAGCATACAAAAT